GTGGGACACTTCATCAATGACCAAATAGAAATCCTGCTATTAATGTTCATGCGAATTATGCTAGAGTAATCTGATAACTAATCGCTTAGCCAACATGACACTTCGCTATCAATATACGTATTGAATATACGTGCTCCGTGCTACACGACTGTTTCCCCGTATCGAATAAACGTATTCCTTGCTACACGTCTGTTTTCCGCTACTGAATAAATGTTCCGTGCTACACGTCTGTATCCTCTGTAGAATAAACGTGCTCCGTGCTAAACATCTGTTTCCTTTATATGCAATATACGTACCGAATAAACGCATTTCGTGCTACACGTCAGTTTCCCTTATAGCTGGACTATAGCTTAGCTTGTTCTGGGAGTCTAGCTAGATGTTGGAGAATTCTCCGTGCTACTCGTCTGTTTCCTTTATAGCTGGGCTATGGTTTAGCTGGTTCTGGGAGTCTAGCTAGATGTAGGAGAATCTCCCTGGTTCTGGGAGTCTAGCTAGACGTTGGAGAATCTGCCGTTCTGGGAGTCTAGCTAGATGTAGGAGAATCTGCCACAGATATAAACGCGCTCCGTGCTACACGTCTGTTTTCTTTATAGCTGAGCTATAGCTTAGCTGTTCTCTAGCTAGAGGTTGGAGAATCTGCCATAGAGATTTCTGATTCCTAGCTAGATGTTGGAGAATCTGCCATAGAAATTTCTGAGCCGGTAGCTAGATGTTTGAGAATCTGCCATGGAGATTTCTGAGTCGGTCTAGCTAGATGTCGAGAATCTGCCATAGAGATTTCTAAGTCAGTCAGGCTTTACTTAGGGATCTGCCATAGAGATTCTGAGTCGGTCAGGCTTTACTAAGGTAGCAATCCGCTACAATTCTGTCCCTCTTCTCTCGACTTTTGTCACTTTGATGTCCCTCTCTGTGAAGCCCGAAGCCAGCTAAAGGGCTAATGATAACTATCAAAACGCCATTTGAGATAAATAAATAAATATTCTCTGATTTAGCAAAGATTGAATACACTCTGTAAACTGGAGAACTTACACCGTTATGAATCAACAGGGTTAAAATTCCAAGGTATGGTGCGAACATTGACAAATTTCGTATTAATTATTCGGCAAATGAACCACCAATCAAAGCAAACAACTATCGATATAGATAGCAGAGAGTTTTAAATCAACTAAAATGACCCTATTGTTTTAACCCTTTGTAGTCCCTAGGACCGTAATGATCTTCTTTCAAAATTAGCTCCATTATTATCAGACTCGTAATAGAAGGCGCTATTGACATTTGAAACATGTTCAATACGTCTATAGTCTTCGCCGATACCACCAAAACTCATAGCGTCGGCAGCAGTCTGCTGTGAGACATGCGTGAATGCGGATGGGTGCATTTTCAAATTAAATTGGGGTGGGGGGGGGGGAAGGGATGGGGGGTATTAAATGGTTGAATTCAATGGTTAAGGTAGGCGTCTTAAAGTCCGTCTCATAACTTACTTAAAATTTATTCAACTTAGCCTAAAGATGAGCTAACCCTCTTTTATTGTTTAAACTTATTTTATTTAATTGAATCAGTGAAATCTCTTTTGTAGTAATCGTATGTATTCGTTATCGTGTTGGAGCAATTGATTCTTAGTGGTTAAATATGTGTAAGCTTTTCTTTTCAATGCCTATAAAACCCATTTTTATCATTACAGTTTCACCAGAACCACTTGTTGGTGAGAATACACGGGTTTTGGGGAGCATTCTTCATAAACACTGGTGAAAGTGGATTAGGTATCATTCAGATCTGTTTGTTCACACCATATTATTAAAGCAATGGAATTTAGCAAAAGTCCCAAAATATTTTTGTAAAAATGTTGAAGAATTCAGATGTAAAAATAATTATTTGAATAATTTACAGTATAAATATGTATAACCAGCCATTTGATCGTTCACAGGCTAGCTTGATAGATCTACTCAACAATAATTATGGAAAAGGGGATTTATTTAACAAGTATACAGATTGCGCATTCATTGACATTTTAATATGTATCAAGTCTCATGAAAGGCAATAAAATGTGCAGAGAATTAAATATTAGCAATTTGTGATAAAGTTACTTTTATTTATACGTTGAAGAGCGGTGAGTATAATCGCGGAAGGCTTTTGACCTCGATATGAAGGCGCGTTTTGAGACATTTGATGTTATAGCAGTAGTTGCAGAGTTGCAGAAGAAGTAGATATTGAGTTTCTCTTTATGTAAAAGCAGCATTATAGGTTGTCGCTTAGTTAATGCATATGACGCAAATTCCAAGACATATATGCTCAAGCTCTCACGGTAGTGTCCTTTTTTGGAATTTGACAAACTTATAGCTCGAACTCGGAAGAAAAACCGGTTTTGCTTATTGAATCTGGTGTACGAATGCACTTAACATCGTTCACTTGGCAGAAGGGTACGATGCCACTCGGGTTTACTATGAAGGTTTGATGATATTTCCAATTATTAGCCATATGTAGCTTCGCAAGCACATCAAAAATAAGAAAATATCGAACATTCAACAATTAGGAATTGATCGTGTTGTTGATATCACATTCGGTTTCGAGGAACATGCTTTCCATTTAATTGCTGAGCTATACGGAAGGGTTAGTGTAGTGACGGGGAGCATTAACATTGTCTTTAGGGAAATATGTTCCTTACAGATGCCAATTACACAATTTTAAATCTTCTCCGCCCAAGAACGGATGTAGATCAGGACGTTAGATATGCAACTCATGAGAGATTTCCAATCGAATTGGTTCGTCATGTTCCTGAATGTCTACTTGACTTACGTGATCCAATTGGCCTTGAGAACTTAACCAATGAGCTAAACGACCTCCTTTTGAATGCTTCTGGTCCTTGGAATAATGGATTAGCCACTGATGGTACTGAATTGCCATCAGTAACTTCCGTCATTGGCAATGCGTTCTGTAAGCCTGGTTGAAATTTCATTTATCCCTCTTATTAGCTTATGGAACGGGTTTAATTGAACACTGTTGTGCCGCTGCTGGTCTTATAAGTTCCAAACGCTCAAAGAAAGCTGGAAGTGATACACAATCCTCCATTACCGACCTTACTGCCTATCGCCTTCAAATCAGTGAAAAAATTGCTGCTGCTCTTCGTGAAGTCTTGATTCAAATCTCAGAGAAGAAGACTATTAACGAAGACGGTTCTGTTATCAATCCGGCTATTATTGTTTTGTCGTCCAATCATGGGCCAACGTCAAAGTAATGGGATTTTTAGTTCTAATGAGTAATCCCTTAGATATGAGGCATATTATCCAATTCGATTTGTTCAATTGTCTTCAAAGCCGACTGTGGATTTTGATACTTTCAATAAGGCCGTGGACGAATTTTATTCAAGCATGGAGATCAAGAAAAGCGAGGTGCAACTTATTCAGAACGTAGGTCCTCTTTTTTAAAATTATCATTACATTGTCAGGATTCGTTGTGGCTCATGTTTCATAGTTTATTAAGTGACTAAAGTATCGCAGCACATATCTACTGAATAAGTATAAGTAGCAACCATTTAATCCTATTATACTTCTGCATTTTCCCTCAGGGCCGGAGTAGGCAGTAGAACAAAAATATTTAGTGGGCTGGTGGATATGACGATAGATGCTGAAAGTTCAAGTAGTATTGCAGTTTAGGAAGTCTTTTGGATTGCAAAGGTTTTGAAGTGTGGATGTTTACGAACATTTACCCTATAGGTGAAAAGTGCTAACAAGAAGATAGAGAACATCAAACGCGATCAGGAAAACCGCCTGCTTGCCCTCAGAGGAGAGCAAATCAAGGACAATCAGAAGGCTCAGTTATTGGAACTTAATGTCGATTTGGTCGATCGTGTCATCATGACACTCAACTCCGCCATTGCTAGCCAAACCAACTGGAAGGTTCTAGAAGGAGTCATTGAAAAACAGAAGGAACGTGGAGATGACCCTGTGGCTAACTGTATCGTCAAGCTCCAACTATCCTCTAATCAAGCCCTTCTTCATCTTAGTGACCCCTATCAAGAGGATAACGACGATGATCATCCTAATGAACTTCTGGCTCAAGATGTTATGGTCGATTTAGACTGCACTGCTCTCCAAAATGCTAAGAAGTACTATGCAAACAGGCGACAAGCTGAAGCAAAGGAACAGAAGACTATTGCTGGAACGAAGACAGCGCTAAAAGCTGCAGCTAGAAAGGCTGAGAAGACAAAAAAAGATGTTCGTGGTGTGCCTAAGATGATTAAAGCAAGGAAACCGTTTTGGTACTCTTCAAATTTCAATGTTTTTGCAAGAACGCATATTGTCTTATTCAATATTTCTTCTGTTAGTCGGTTTCTCTAACCCCAAGATTCTAGGAAAAATTTAAACAATAATCCCCGTTGTGAAACTATTTGTCAAGCATATCAAGTTCTGTTCACTAGGTGCACACCAGTGGCCAACATGCCCATGACCCTTGACTTCATAGACATCTGCTCTAGCCTCTAATTCAGCACTTTTAATATCTCCGTGACCAATACTTATTTTTCTCTGGTTTATCCAATCCCTCTCCGGTTACCTCTAAATAGACCATCTTTGTCAGTATGCTGGGGTATGTCGTTTCTAACATTTTGTCAGCTTTTCGGAACGTTAACTATTATCACTCCGTCAATATTCCGATTTCCAATCGTCAACAATACGAAGCTGATTCTTAAATATATATTATCTTATCAACAATCCTTCTTGGGAACAATCCCATTATATTTTGTGTCCGCGCCTTATTTCGTTGGGAGAGTTCAAAGGGATAGATATTAGGCTAGGTAAAGTTATTATAGTCTTGCTGTGCAGGTTGGTTTAAATCTTTAAATAGTTAGAATTGATCGTGAATGAAACCTTGTTTACTTGTACAATATTTACCCTGGTTTCAATTTTTTTTCATCTGTCATCACTTCTGCAACTCTTTGATCTTTCAATGTATACCAGGTTCGAGAAGTTCCATTGGTTTATCAGTTCGGACAATTATCTCGTCCTCGCAGGTCGAGACGCCGCTCAGAATGAAAATCTCATAAAGAGGTACTTCCGTCAACACGACATTTATGTCCATGCCGACGTCCATGGCGCTAGTAGCGTTATTGTCAAGGCGAGACATCTACAGCCTTACGAGAAGCCTATTATGGGAGGTGAGTTCATCATTTTGCAATTACAAATGTTAACAATGGCTTCTTTTCTTATTTGGAAATAATTTTAAAGCTTAATTCATGGGGACGTGAATTTGTTATCTGACTACTGGTTGCATAGGGATTTGATCACTTTATGGTGCAATAAACGACACCTTTGTTTCTAAGGTACATTCTGATGTCGTTTTGTGGGGGGCTGCATTAGTCATTTCGCCTATTATTTCGTCTTCAAAGTTAGAGTTCATGGGTTCATTGTCCACTGATGCATGCTGTCACTGGTTGAGTTGGGTTATTAAAATGGGCGACGAAATTCGAGTTTTTGAGTCTTTATAAACACCTTCCTAGTCTAGTATGCCTATTAAATTGTAGTAGTTAACAAAACCCTAAATCCGAAGAAACGATGAAATAAGTAGTGGACCAACTTAGAGGTTGTGTCACTAGTCTGTCCACTTGTTATTCAAAGAGTATGTAGGAGTACATCATGAACTTGAAGAAGTAAAGTGAATAGAGCCATATACTGTGGATGACAGGCTGGTAGGAGTAAGAGGTAGGGTCTGAGTTTGGTATCGTGTTTGGGGTAGAACGCCTATGGTCATTCATGTAGCCTTGACATAAACACTGGAGAGTCCAGCTATGAGTTTAGCTGGTAATAATTTGTTCAAACTTCTGCTCCATTTACTCTGAAAGGGAAATGTTTTCCGAAGAAGTAGGAAAATACCCTGATGAATTCATGTCATTTGCCCTGAATGATATGTAGTATAGACCCAGATCAACGCCTAGACGAAGGCATTTTAACTCATTTCCTCTTTATTTCGACATGGTGGCTTTCCTTTTCTCCCCTCACATTTTACCTGTCAGCTTGGCTGCTGTAATGTCCATTTCACACACGAATCTTCTATTACGCCGGTATTAACCTTTCGAAACTCTTTAGAAACTGAGGAACTGACGATGCCCCAACCACCTCTGCGAACTCTTATTGAGGCCGGTCAAATGGCTGTAGCTTTGAGTAATGCTTGGTCAGCAAAGATTATCACAAATGCTTGGTGGGTACGCCACGATCAAGTCTCTAAGACTGCTCCTTCTGGAGAATATCTCACTACTGGGTCCTTCGTGATCAGAGGTAGGAAAAATATGCTTCCTCAATGCCATCTCACCTACGGAATTGGAATCCTCTTTAAGGTATGTTGGAAATCGATCTTGAAAATCCCTATTGCTTGTGTATCCGATGAAGAGAGAAAGGTTATTCTTAATAGATATGTCTACCTTTTATGAGGAAGTAGGTGGTAGCGCTATTGCAAGTAATTCATCTAACTTAAACAGAGGATGGATTAAACAAAAGGGATCAAAATGTTTGCATCTACCCAACTAGAAGTCATAGAATCCATGCTCATGGGTTCGCATCTAGGGATGCGGAAGAATTGTCTACCGAAAGGTTCCATCATAAAAAGGTGAATTTCTTTCAAGAGGTGCTCCTGATTATCTACACATCTTTTACACTTGAATATTTCTAACGTTGCTCCTAAACATCTTATAGAATTATTTACAAAAGTAGTTGAGGAAAACGTCAGCTTTCGACTTGTTATTTCGTAAAACGAATAAGAAGAGGAGGCTAAAGTTCACTATATGGGAGTAAGTTAACAAAGACAAAGTGAGAGAGAGGCGAGGGGCTTGGAAATAAGCAATGCAGTTGACAGGCAATACAAGATTGGTACTCAACCTTCGAATTAACACTGTCTCACACATTGGAACCAGTTTCTAAAGCACTCATGTTTTCGAATGATTTTATCGTGGAGATAGACTAGGAAGAAGGGGTTTCATGCTCAATTAGGATTTATAGTACCTCAGATTTCTCCAGGTCCTCCCATATCAGAAGCCTAAGACTCAATTGTTAGCAAGTTCTTGAGTGAATTCTTCAATTTACACCAGGCCAGACCTGATGACCCTCTTGTATGGATCTTTGCGACATCAAAGTCAAATTGAGATTGGTTCTGGAACTATTTGTTACTTTCATTCATTTTAAATAGCCGTTTCAACCATTACTAAGTACTTTTAGGTAATAAAGGGATCTTGGTCATCTTAACCTATTTTTATTAGTATTTCTGGGTTACTCGTTTTTCCAAGAAGAAAAGGTAATGCTCTACTTAAAATGGTTATTTTTAATATCACTCGGGCTCTAATACTCATTCGTTAAAACTTTCTTCTTAAATGGCGTCTTTAAAGGTAACTTTACTTACAGGCTAGTTTTGTTTCAGTGGTAACGTTTTTTTGACTTCCATGATCTGAAGTCTTATAACAAATAGTCCATTGTAACGAAAAATCGATTTTCTAGTTAGGTGAGGACTCGGTGGAACGGCATCTTGGCGAGCGATGCATCGATTTGGAAGCCATCAGAGATGCTGAAGCTGCAGTTAAGAAATACGAGATTCCAGAGACTCAACCAGACGATGCTGAGCAGGAAGAAGACGATGACGTAGCAAAGGCATTTGAGAATGTCACATTAAATTTGAGCATCAATAGGTAGATCTTAGAGTGCTACCGTAACTCGAAATTCTTGCTATATCATCTTTATTACACATTTTCTTGCACAGGGTCAAGAAACCTCAAACTCAATCAGTTAAACAGCGACAGAAATCAGCAGCCCAAGCAGCCAAACATTCTGCATCTTCATCCTCTCAACCACAGAGTAAGGCAAAGTCCTCGTGTCCAAATCCTCTTAAACGAGGACAGAAGGCGAAAATGAAGAGGATCAAGGAGAGATATGCCGACCAGGACGCTGAAGAACGTCAAATTCGCCAACAGCTCCTTCAAGGAGCGAATGCTAAGTTGAGTTCGGTCCATGAATTATCTAAAGGTCCCAAAAAAGAGGAGTACGAAAACGACGCTCAAAGACAGAACGAAGTGAAGCTGGAAGAGGAATCTCAACAGGATGGAGAGAAGTCCAGAAATTCCGAAGAAGAAAGTGAGGACACAAGTAAGACTACCAAGTTTGAGACCCAGGATATTGATAATGATCGAGAAGACGATGCATTACTTTGCACTGCTGAGGTCTCGACTCTCGAAACTTTAACTGGTTTGCCAACTACAGACGATACTATTCTTTACGCTCTTCCGTTTTGTGCACCTTACAATGCATTGCAGAAATACAAGTATAAGGCGAAGCTTATTCCCGGCACTCAAAAGCGTGGAAAAAGTAACTGAATCTTTCAACCATATTTTTGTTTATAATTTAGTATTCACCATCATCCCATTACTTTGTAGTAACAAAACTGGCAATTCACCACTTTACTTCGGATAAGGGTGCTACTGATTTGGAAAAACAATTGATTCAAGCGATTAAAGAAGAGGACTTGTGCAGGGTAATGCCGGGATCTGCGAAAATCACTTTCCCTTCAAATACTGTACATCGTGAATAGTTGGAAGAGTGTTTTATTTACTTAGAAAGTCTTTTCAATCGGAATAAAGTGTTTTGCGTATCTTGTGTTTGATGATAAGTGTATTAGCATCAAGAAAATCCTCATTATTAACTGAATGTAAACTGTTTATAACATTAACACAATTAGTTGTGCAATGTAATATTATTCAAAATATAGCCATTTGTACAAGGAATGTCACTATGCCTTAAAAATTATTGGATGGCGTTTTAATTCACTAATATGTGCATTCGTGGCCTTGACGCGTTTATGAAACGCTGGAGTCCTCGTTGGAGGCCCTGTCGCTGATCTCCATGTTCATCTTAGTCTCTGTCGTATTTATCACATTAATTAATTTTTGCAACGCGGATTATCGCACTGTAAACATTCTGTTGCTAAAGGACTTCTTTGTGAAGTCTACCAGTTTTAAGTTATTTGACAACGTAAAATGGTTTCACAACGGCGTTCCTGTCAATCAATCCAGGTTCGAATTCTAAACTCTTGTTAATCTTTAGCAATCGTCATGTATATTTCAAAAATGGAACATTAAAAATAATCCAAGCAGAAGTTTCTGACTGCGGTCTATATCAGAAATGTGTTGGGACAAAGTGTTCAACCCCAATTATTGCAGAAATTCAGGATTTGCATAGAGTCCAAAAAGGTAAATGCGATAAAACTTATAAAACTTTTCAGATGGAATAACTTGGGTATTTAAATACGATAAGCCAAATTCTTATACATATTGGGAACCTGCGACTGAAATACAATGTGGAGTTAACCTTCCAGAGAGTTATCCCCATTTCCACGTTAATTGGTCTTACTCCAGTCAGAATGGATTTCAAGTAGGTTCTTCAATTGTAAATATTTTTTTATGATTTTCATCCTTTAGTTTCTTGTTCGTAATCATACAATTACAAACAAAAGTGGTCATACATACTTTTACTCCTCCCTTATTTTATTACAAAATCCAAGAGATACTGTCTTTACTTGTCGGTTTTTTGTTCGAACAAAATGGGGTCATTTATTGAAATATGAACAAGACTTTTATCCTAATTTTTCTGGTTTTTCTCTAAGGTACGTCCCCCACATTTTCATATCTATCTATTCTCTAAACAGGGGTTCTGTCCGTGAGTATGTTAGGTATACACCAAAAAAGCATAAATCCGACTTTCGTGTGCACGCTCCAGCTATCACTTTGTCCTACGAGAAACGTGGTGGCTCTATTAATGCTACCTGTTTTTCGAAAGAGGGTCCAGTTCAACTCTATATTGCATCCGATGTTGAGTCACTTAATCGATACAATGGTTACTGGTTCGCACTCACAAATAAACTACTCTCTTTGCTGAATTTCTCAGTAAGTTCACGAGAGAGAGAGCCCCTGTGCTTTCTTTTCCGACTTTGCAAAGATTTATTTTTTTTCATATAGGAAGCAGAAATGAATGGCACTTACTTCTCAAGTTATTTGTTTAATTCGTCTGAATTTATAAGTCAGGAAGTCTATGTTGTCTGCCGTTGTCTCGACAAATATTCCTTCAGACGTCTGGAAGCTCAGAATTATTCTACTTTTTCTGAAACACATCCCTCCCTTTTAATATGTAAGTACATATTTGATTTTGAAAGCATTCTGAGGTAGAATGGTTTTATGTTCATTATTGTTTACTACCTTTGATTTTAGTTTTCCAATCCCTTGCTTTTACGACTTGTTTTCTCATTGTCATACTTGTGTTCCCTGTAACTGTCATGTGGTGCTTGAAAAGGTGTCGGAAACTTCGAATCAAACGTCTGCAACGTCGTCCATCTCTGATCTACCGGTCGATTGACGCAGTTGAATGTCAGCAGCCATGTCCCCAAACGCACGACTACGTCAACATTTCAATAACTTATTGCCCTCGCAGAATTGAAAGTGCTGAATCTAGCGAAGATTATCTCGAGCCCAAACGATTAGAATTGAAAACTACAAGTTAGATTCTATCTTATGGCTTAATATAAGGGTTCCTACTTGTCGCTAACGTGTTTTCTCTTTTATCTAGGTCAAACTCGATCCGTTCGCTTTCACTTGCTAGGGGAATCTCCCCCCACACCAAGATATCATGACTCTCCATTTTTAAAAAATTGTAAGTGATTTACTATTTCGTTCTTGTCATGCAAACAGGGGATTGGCGTTTATATATAACTAACTCACGTATTTCAATTGACTATTTGATAGCCTGATTTTATTTCTTTAATTAGGTTCCCGCAGACTTTTGGCGCCACGACAACATCGGCACAAGTTGGTCAAGTCGCCTCTTCGTAGGCACAAATTGTCCCTAAAGCCATCAAAGCACCCCTCAGTTCATTGTCGAAATATTTTAAATTCGGTTAGTTATCTTTTAACCAATCAGTATTTAGCCTTTACCGTACCGTGGTGTGACAAAATCGATAAACTTGGGAGGTTTTAACTATTTCAAGTGCACTTTAAGTTATCGGGTTTTCCCTTTACTTCTTCTATGCATTGCCATAGCAACACAAAGATATCTTCAAAATTGCTACCTTTTTTTAAACGGTGATTTTCATCCAGATTCTGCAGCTTAAATGGGGTTGTGTGACTCGTTTAGGTGACTAAATAATAGCACTGATAGATTTGTTTGAACTGCCGTAAATTTCGAACTCAAAAAGGATGACCGTCAACTGAGTGGCGAGTCAAGGAAGTGACTCAAGCTCTATCTAATTGTAAACTGTTACGTGAAAGCACGCTGGGTATATTACAAGCTGTTCTGTAAAAAGGTACTTTTCGCTTGTATTTCAGGTTGGTCGGTTTTCCTCCAAACGACGACCGGATTTGTGCCGATATCGCAACTTATGGGATGTGTTTCCTTAACGTAAAATAGCCCAGGTCATCATTTTGTATTCCGTATTTTATATTCTTACCTCCCAGATACTACTAATAAATCACCAACAATTATCACTTATCATCAGTCTATTGTTTTGACTAGAGGGTTCATAATTTTGGTAGTGATTTCATTCGAGAGGGGCAGCAAAGAAAATAAGATTGAAGGATTGACAAGTAAATGCTAAAGTGATGATGATTTCAATCAAGTGAAAGAGATAAATTGAAACATTGAGCCAAAGTGTGTTAATTTTAATTATGGCTGCTTGCCAGATTGCCTGACGAAGTGATCGAAAGATTCTTCGGCTGCGTTAGGCCGACTCGGTCAAGAGGGTACATCAAAGTTCACATCGTTGAAGGTTTTCAACGTTGTTTACTTCAGTTCATGGGCAATGATAATAATTTATCACTTACATTGAAAAAATACACCCGATTTTCAAGTGAAATTCTATTTGATCGAAAGTAAAAATTGTTTGAATGAGAACTGTCACTTTATTGGCCAATCAAAATACACTTTCCTATGCCTTAAAGCTGGAGGCATTTATCTGGTTTTCGAAATGAATTCCTAAAACAAGGATGAAAAGTTTGGTCTATTTTAGTTTATAGAATTCTGTTTACACCCGCATACTATTCTTAACTTTGTGGAAACTGTCTCACTCGTTTGAATCATTATGGATCAGATGAGTTGAGGCATTTTTGACGTGACAACTCTCGTTTGCGTTCGGATTATTGACAATCCAGTAAACCTTTGGTTTTTCATTTATATTGCCATCGCAATACAGATGTGATTACCATAGAACCTGCGATCTTGACTTTAGATGGCTAATGAGTCGTTTGATATTGAGGTTATCCCATCGTTTAATCCAATGCTATTATCCGTCTATCTAAATTAGAACTGATTTTTAAAATATACAATTTAAAATATGCCGATAATTGTGCTCTTCGGATGAGGTGTGTGGGGGGGGGGGTTGGAAGTTTTTAATCAACGACAATTTAAGACTGCTACCGTTTGATTCAGCTTCATCTTCTATTAGAACGGATAATCAGGAAGCTTTTACTGATCAGTAAATTAATCGGGGGAGGGTGGAGGTAAATCCTGAAGCAATTTCGATTGAACAGACACTTTCGTCCGTGTCGACACTTAACTCTACGCCTCCCTAATTTACCAGATGAGGTTTTGTATTACTTGCACATAGATGAAGCAAGGACACAAATTCATTAGTCTTCCCCCCTCCCTCTTAGATCTAACGTCTTACCTCTCCTTCCCCAAATCTGAACTTTTTTCCCTACCTAATCCTCGCTATTCCGTAGCAGTCACCCAAATTGTTCTTTGTCAAAATCAACTTCTGATCATAACCCTTTAACTCCCCTAGGACCGTACAGTCCTCCTTCAAAATAACCTCCATTGGTACTAGACTCATAACAGAAGGTGATATTGCGCTTGAAACATCTTCAATGCGTCTATAATCGTCGCAATTCACGTCGACTGCATCCGTCTGATATGAGACACTCGTGAATGCGGTTGGGTACATTTTTTTAAAAAAAATTAATCGGGCGTTAAAGGGTTAGTATGTGAAAGGCTTGTGTATTCCGGAAGGGAGATGATTCGATTTTGTAACGGTTTAGGTCTAAGTCTAACTGTAATTAGCGCAGTTAAAGGTGTTGGGCAATTAGAAACCACATTTCGAATAGTGATAATTAATAAAAATTCCATAAATGTAGCCAAGGAAACTTCTCTTGGTAAATGGGGTTGTTTTAGGTAATCTTATTAATGGCCTATCACGTAGTTCTGCTCATCAACAAAATCAATCGATCTATTAATGCGCCTAAGTTCGTTCTTACCTTAAATTATGCCTTAAAATACTTGATTATCATTGATTAAGCACCCTAGAAACTCAAGTCCAAAATTAGTCCACTGTTTATGTAGCTAAAGCAAGTTCCGAGGACAGAGATCGACAGTTTTGACGGTCCAGGGCAGTCTCATTAACTCAAAATGCACATAGACTTGGAGGTGTGAAAATCTGGTCAACTTTGTGGGGTTCCTATTATACCCACGTTCGCAGTTGAGGTGGATATCATCGGAGTAACTGGCTCGATCCTGAGTGGCTGAGCACACCAAAATTGCTCTTTTTAATAACTCGGCTGCGCTAATCAATAAGTGGATTAGTTCGGGGGGAACAGAACTCGACAAAAGTACACTGAGGCCTTCACCCCTCTTTGAACCCCCTTTCCAAATTCCACCTTGCGTCTAGTCTAGACCATTATGTCCCCTTCTTTGCACCTTTGTAATTTTGAGTACTATCGATTGACCATCCTAAATGGGTGAGGTGGAAAATGGTTTTTAGCCGGATTTGAAAATGTATTTTTTATAACTCGTTTAAAATCAAGAATATAACCTTTTCTAGATGAACTGGATCGCTCGTTATTAGACTTGCTAAAACATAGGTCAAGATCGAATCATTAGAAAAAAATTCAATAATGCGTTGAAATGGCAATTTAATAGCGGACATTCCACAATTGGCCTTGACAATGCTGGCCGTTCATAGGGTCAAGCTAAAAGGTGCTGAGCGGTCAATGCAAATACAATTTATGAAATATTTATTTATTTCAAATGGCAGGCGTTATGATAGGTATCATTAGCCCTTTAGTTGACTTCGTGCTTCACAGAAAGAGGAACACCAAAGTGGCAAAAAGTCGAGAGGGGGGACAGACTAATGATTCACAGACGTAAAAGAGACAGACAGACACAAAGGTAGAAAAAAGGTGAGTGCTGTGGAATTAGTAGAATATGAAATGCGGTGGGGTCTTGGTAGTTTGAAATCAGAAGTCAACTGCCGATTAATGGACTTTTTTGCCGTATGAGTATACGTTGCCCAGGGTGCACCACGTGGAGGTAAGTCTATCGCACACCCCATTTATGAAATATAGTATCAGATAATTTAACTTTAAACCCAAAAAAGCAGTGGGTCTAAATTAATTAACAGCTTTCAAATTTTGCCATGTAATATGCAATCAGGGACTATTAAGAATTTTCTGTAAAGGGTAGTAGAGGAAGTCAATAAAAATACCTCTTTTCTGTATCTCTAAGTTTTGTTCTGTAGTAGATCATCACGCGGCTAAGCAACTCTAGGTTGCCATCTTAGGCAATCTATTGTGGTCTACCAAGCTGTGATACATTTGAAATTGCATGGGGGTTCAGACCACTTCCACCAACGGAATGATTAATGAGCACCACAAGTTATATTTCATTGGCGCCCATCCGTGTAGGGTTGAAATTTGAGGGGAGAGCCAAGTGGGTGTGCGATAGACTTACCTCCACGTGGTGCACCCTGGAAATATGCCTTCACTATCAACATCTTATTTGGAAGCGGAGGGGTGTGTGCGATAGACTTACCTCCACGTGGTGCACCCTGGACAGCGTGCGATAGACTTACCTCCACGTGGTGCACCCTGGGCAACTTTCAACCCTTGCTGGTTTTCTAAACAATTATTCTTAAGAATACGATAGACTTACCTCCACGTGGTGCACCCTGGACAACGTACTTTCAAATGGCAGGCGTTATGATAGGTATCATGGGGTGTGCAATAGACTTACCTCCGTGGTGCACCCTGGGCAATGTATATTTAGACTTACCTCCACGTGGTGCACCCTGGGCAATGTATACCCATATGGCAAAAAAGTTTATTAACTGGCAGTTGACTTCTGATTTCAAGCTACCATGACTCCACTGTATGTCATATTTGACTACTTTTACAGTAATCACCTCGCCATTTTTCTACCTTTGTGTCTGTCTCTTTTACATCTTTA